ACAAAACAGTACAAGATCAGCGATTTTAGGATTACTGATTTAAAGGATTTTTTACGGACCCTTATATTTATGAGTAAAATATCAAATAGAGAACTATTTTGGCAGACAGATACAGAAAGAGTCAAATATAACTGTTATCAAGTATTATGATTGATAAATTTCTGGATGTTATAAATGCTGTTGTATTGAGAAATGATTAGAAGTAATCAATTTGTTTCAGATATTAAGTATAATGTGTATTTATAAAAGAACAACCTATAGAAACTCCCTTTAAATCTAAATAACACCATTTTCTAAACGGCAACTTTACTTGTTTAAAAGTTTTCATCTTTATTTTAGCGGAAGTAATTGAACAGTTTTAGGAAACTTTACCCTTGACCTCATAAAAACGCAAAACAACGCACTTTCGACCCCATCACCCTTTTAGGCCTCAAATAGTGAAAAGCGAAAAAATGACCTTTTCAGGCCCCAAACGCTTGAAAAATGTTCTTAGAAAAAGTGATCATTATTTTCGGCGCCGCCCCCTATTAAAAAAGATACATAAGGGTTATACCAGTGGGGGATGTGCCCCCTTCTGCTTTGGGATTTGAAAGGGGCAGCAGCTGCCCTCATCGCCAATAATATTTTGGACCTGTAAGAGGCTAAAATTTACGTCAGGTCGATCAGAAGGTCCCGTGTTACCAGGGCTGAAAACCCCTTGACTCTATCTTAATCTACTGATAAATTGCAGCACTTTGAAATCAGTTTGGATGGAAAATCAACGCAAAATAGTGATTTTTGGCAATTTTGAGATGTCCCCTCGTTGTCATGGTAACAGGAAATTTAAGATTGTGCATGCCGTTACAAAGGGTATGGTCCAGTCAACATTAGTGCTAAGTTTAATGGAATATTGAATCATCTTTTATAGTTTCATAGCAATCTGAACATGTAACAGAAGTCTTATCAATGAAAACGGCAATTTTTTCACAAATGCTCATGCAGTTATGGGTTAAAGGATGAATGTTAATTTTAATTCTAATTAATATTTTTCTAACTTTGTGATATTACTGTAATATTGTATCCAAAATGCTATTAATTAATCAAAAGCCTTTTCTTGGTGGTATTTACAAGTTCTAAAACAATTTTATTTGACATATAATTGAACCATTCGTCTAAATTTTGAAATTTGCACACATAACAATAAAACGCGACTTTCTTTATAAACAAGTTTAACATACTATTAAATTGTTTATACGGACATACAAATTTATAAACTGTTCTACTTCTAGAATATAGTTAGCGGGCAATATAAGCTTTTGAGCAGTTCCAGTGTTATTATTTACAATTGCTTTCAACTGAAACACCACAAGTACGTTGAATAATCAATAAGAAATTGCATTCCTAGCAGTTTGTTGGTTTCCCATTTAATTTGCCTTGTGTATCTAAGAATATTAATATTTTGATTTTTTTACTTCTCGTTTAATTACAGCGGAATAGGCAGACGTTCATCTCGTACGTCGCTTTTTTCAGTGTATTGATATTATAAAAGGTGTGGTAAACTGTTAAAAGACGGCATTTTGAATATGTCATTTGGAAGCTGGCTTCATAATATCGCATTTTTTCTCAAAATTTCATTATATGAGTTTTTAGTTTTCTCGTTTAGGGAACAAACACATCTGTGGATGTTTCTTAAATCTAACCTAGATAAACTGTTCATGTTGAGTTTTGCTTAAGCCGGTGCAAAGGGGTGATGACGGTATACTCTCGTTCATGAACAAGCTCAGTTTGCAAAATATGTTCCGTTTTTAATTTTTATCTGTATTGTTTAAGAAGGTGAAGATATCGCAGATGATATATTAATGTGAAAGAACATTTTCGTCTGTTTTAAACAATAATTTCTAGAAACCATTGCATTTACTTACGGTGACTTAATTTAACAGGAATGTTTAGTCATAAGTTCTTTACAAGAAATATGACTTGCTTGCCCTTTTTATAGTTGAGTGAGTTAATTTCCATGTTTCCTGGAGTGGGACTATCCATATTTATCTTTACAAGAAAAACGACGCATAACTTGTTGATCTTAAATAGAAATAAACGTTCTGTATTAGGTCTTACATTTTGGTGTTGAAAATAAAAGGTTTGGACACGCATTAATTTTTTATATATAACAGACACTATTTTACTTACTCAACACAGCGGTTGCTCCGCATATTTGTGGTCTTTTATTGAATCAATATATTACGAATTGGCGGGGTTTTATTACATTTTGCTTTATTTCAAAGGTTAACTATCTACCTACAATTTCAATTTTTTAACTTCATTGACTAAATTTTTAATTTTCAAATGTTAATTTTATTGGTCAATCCTAGTAATAACATTCAAATAATAATTAGAGAAGTCATTATTCCTTAAAAAAACTGTTTTAAAACAAGTGTTGGTAAACAATTTCAAAATTTTAACTTCATTGATCAAACTTTAATTTTCAAATGTGCATTTTATTTGTCAATTCTAGTAATAACATTCAAAAAATAATTAAAGAAGTCATGATTCCTGTACAAAAATGAAACTGTTTTTAAAACTGATTTGGTAAACAAAGATGCCTGTTTCCGCCATAGCGTTCTTGGATACGAAATGCCTCTATAAGTGTACTACAATTGGGTATTAATAACTACAGAAGATGTGACATTTCTTATATGTAGCACAGTTATTTCCTAAGCCAAGCAATCATTTTGTAATCAAGATGTTTTCGAAATTTGGAACCTATAAACCGGTAAATGGCCAATAAAGAATACTGTTTTGTATTAAATATTTGATACTTGAAGGAGTAAAGGGACGCCATCCCCAATTAAATTTAAATCGTCTAATTCATCTTTTTATACTGATTTATATACGATAATGAATGAAAAAGCCTTTAGGCAAGAATCGTTGAAAAAAGCATTATTTTACTACTTTGTGACCATGATTTCTGCAAGCGTCTATAGGTACCATTTCTTAGTCGTGCTTATGTACCGCAAAATAGACAGGTTTGCTTCTTTAAAAAGAAGCATGCGAGAGGTCTTTTTGCAGCTTTGGAATATTTGTTTTATTCGAAAATATTTGAAGATATTTGCATAAAAGGCACAATGATAAATATATAAATTACAATTATTTAACAAAATAGATTTTACATAAAAATGTTTATGTCACTTGATTGGAAAAAAACAGTATATAAAGCTGCGCGCCTCCAGCCACATTATTTGAAGAAAATCAAACTTGAGTAAATTTGCGCCATTTGCGCCAAAAAATCTCCGTTGCGTTATTTAGTCATACCAGTTTAAATTCGGTACACGGTTCACTCGGTCATATAATAGTGCATGGTGATATTGAAGCTATATTGTTCACTGTTACTATTTATCGGAACATGAAATAGAAAAACTCTATTCAGAAAACAATACGGAAATCGATTTATACAGATTAAAAAATTAAAACGGAATGGAACTTCAACGTAACGCTAAATAACATAAATGATATTTTTCGATTTGTCTATGTACCGATTTGTTCACTACGATGTTAATTTTTCGTTTAAGTTAAGTCGTATTTTGAAGCGGGGCATGCGCATAACAATTTTTGTAGACTGCTCCTAACGATTTAACGCTTTAAATGAGATTCATTCACTACAATCAGATACGCAAATTGGATGCCGTCAGTAATCAATCTGAACACTGTGGAGAGGTCTGATGACCTCTCCAATAAGAACAAAGATCACCGAATCCAGTTTAACATCAGCCTGTGTCTAAGTTAGCGTCAGGCTAGTATAATGCGTTAACTTACTAAAAGTGAAATTGATTGCAACTGTGCATAGGTGTAAATAATCGATTTCTTCATCATGAAGTTTTTTCTTAACTATTGTGCAGCATTACAAGTCGTCCTTGTTAAAATGATTCCTGGGTACTCTGTAGAGGAAGAGTATCTGTATCTTTACTTAGAACACGAAGTCTTAATCAACGAATTTATGTTCTCAGACAAATAAAATGTGTCAATATAAATCTTCAAGACAATATCGTTAATTACTTTAATGTTTGCTATAAATAGAAACAAACGTTTAAACAGAAAATAAAGTGTTTTACTCAGTGAGTATACTGGGAAAATAATGGTCATGCAGAAGTTAAGTCAAGAACGCAATTTGTAAGATAAAAATAAATCTACAATATCACGTAAATAGTAAATTTGTACATGTATATTCATAACAACATTAAGGATTTGACATCAATCATATGTGGTAGTAGGTATTATTTAACAATCAAACTGTCCCTTAGGAGGCTTAGAAGTTGCTTTTAATCTATCAGACATACGAATTGGAACGACTGTTTGCCCATGCCTGATCGTAAGAGACAACTAAATGGGTCAGAATAACTATGCATCTCTAAGCTCCAGGTGAGGAGGTTTTGATCCCAGGTGTGGCTTTGAAGTTTGTTAAACCCGATGTTAACCAAAATTATCTTTGCTGTTTCGGCGCCATATGACCTATACTGTGTTAGGGTGCAAACTAACATGCTTAAGATAATACAGTCTTCGATTGTTTGCAGATCATTTTGTAAAAGAAACCAAAATATAAAGTTGTGCTGCCTCATGCAGATAAGACGTTTCACGTATCATTTAATTTACAAATTTCGAAATGCATTCATTTTGTTTCCATTATTACCTGGTTTTCAATGAAACTTATTTTGTGAAACCTTCAGTCATCCGATCCGATGTTAATGAAGTGGAGAGAGACATTGAAACAAGGTAAATGTTAACGGTAGAATAGTCTTTGTCAATATACTTAGCTAGTATCGAAAGTTTTGGTTCTTATAGGGGCCAATGAAAACAGTGTATGTTCCTATCCAGAATTCAAAATTAACATTGGTTCAATATGTGAATAAGAACAATGGTTCATAAAAAGGTCGAACATTAAATAATGAAATATTATTTTATTTTGTAGGTGTTTTTTGTATTTTTTTTATCTTTTTAATTTTTGGTAAATTTAATGTTAACACACTGACTCCATTTGTTATTTATTATCACTGTGTTAATGATATTTTTCAAGAGTTGTGTTTCGTGAACATTAAGCAATGAACCCCACTCAAAAACACGTGTAAACAGGTTTCAGTTCAAACGGTATTCAACAACAAAAATTACATGGCAGTGGCAAAAGTTTGATAGATAAATGTGTAAAAGTTTATTAAATGAGTTAGTTGTTTCCAGTCCTTTCGTGTAATTCCATCTCCACCATATCTAGTTCAATAGAATTATTGCCCGTTTATCAAACGGAATGTCATAATTATTACACAATAACCTAAACTTTGGAAAAGTTTGTTCATAGACTAAAAGTCTTTGTATCCATAAATGAAAACTGGAACACATTGGTTTTTTATACGTTGTCTTTTTTATTCTAACAGGTTTTTATGCAGCTGATATATTTAACAGCACATTCACTTTGACATTTTGCCTCATCATCGAGTTTTGTCGAACTTTGATGAGAAAGTACATGACACAAATATTCACACAAGTTAAGGGTTTTGTTTAAGTCGATGCATCCCCAGTCGCAAAGGGTCCTGAACTTGTTACTTGGATGATTGTCCGTTACAATAGTTTGACTTTTCGATATGAACAAGCACATCACAAGTAGAATTTTCAAAACTTTCATCTGAAAAATACATGTAGTATTATGAACCATTTTTGATTACATGTCACCATATATGTATTGTTGTATTTACAATAAAAATAATAATCTAAAATTAGAGTATTGATAAAGTTATCCGGAGATATAAGAATTATTTAAATACCACTCCTACGAATCTCCAAATCTAACAATAAATGTTCAATTAATAAATGATAATGCATTGTCGCGTATGTAACCACTACTTCACTCGTCAAAATAAACATGCTATATAATGCAAACTTCAATGCACTTAAAGCGAAATATTTATTGATTAGTTCCAAAGTTCAATTCTATAGCTTAAAATTAAAAATAAAATGCCTTTTATGTCTGTTCCAATAATACGTATAAAATATACCTACCATTTTGAATGTGAAAGTAAAAGTCTATCATTCACTTGCATATTTCTTTTTTTCAATTAACCTTTGTTTTTCAATTCACTCACGTGTTTTTTTACTCACGTTCTTCAATTAACTGTCGATTGTCTTATATCAGTTATTAACGAATCGTTCTTTTTTTAATCCAGAGGTGATATTTGCTTCTCATTGATAAAATCATAAATAACGTTATATTTTAGTTTTGAACAAGCTTCACTTTATATAAATCCGTTATCAATTTGTCAATGCGTAACATGAATTTTTCAAAATTGTATCAATTGTCAAAACAACAGAAGTAATCCGTATGTAAAAAAAATGGTAGAAACTTAATTATTTAAAGTTTAAATAAAGCTTAAACGAGATAATCAAAAGTTTATTTCATTTTTTGCTTTAAAAATCCAGATACATAAAGTATTATATTTTCACCTTAACTGAGATTTCGTAAATAACAAGGTAAAACTATTTGAAAAACAAAGTTTAAACAGTTTATTTTTCAAGCTACAAAATGTATGTAGCTATCTGGCCGTAATAATTAAATCATATACGCACATTAGATGAACCGAATATTTGTACGTTCAGGTAAGATCGCAATAAAGCATTACAAGATAAATACAGTGCTGACTCTAACAGCAAATTATATTGTTTAAATGAAGCAGACGCCTTGATCATTCTGTTCAAATCTTATTTATACGTTTAGATGACAGATTATTTTTTGTGAATTAGCAGTCATACAGACGATAATTTTGTAATGGTAAAACAACATGCATTTTTATTTATCATGGTTTTAACAGTTAAGGTTAAAGTCAGACAGCTATTGCTATAACTTAGATGAACGTCTAACACAGTTGCTCCAGTTTCATTATTTCTGTTGACTATTAGTACAACTGAATAACTTACACAATGAAGTCGACAACCAACTGACACTATGTTTTTCTATCTGACTTTAAATACTTACATCAACATATTTTACATAAGCGTTTTTAATTTTTTGTGTATGGGTAAAAGAATTATATAGTATGGACATTTTTAGTTGTTTATTGATGAAACAAAATTGGAAAAAGATGCAAACCTGGTGTATCATTTACCATGCTATTTAGTTTCGCTTGTCAATGTTAATGTTAACCATGCTCTTTAGTTTCGCTTGTCAACGTTAATGGACAATAACAGTACTAAATCCAGTCATTTCTTGAAGAATACTTAGCATTAATGAATCATTGAGAACGGCACATTGTCTTTATAATGACCTCAGCTCTAGAAAAATATGGCTTTATGATCAACATTTAAAGTCAAGATTATGATATTAACTTTGACAAGAGATTAGTCAAGTCCTTATTTTCACATCCTAGAAATCTAACGTTCATTGACTATAGTTTTAGATTTTATTAAACATGTTTGTTATACATACTTGACGTGTCGAGATAAAAATTACTATCTTGCCTGTTTTACATATTTTGCACAGTCAAGTTTAAATGGTTTGTATTTAAATAGAGATTTTTTTTGGAACTCGGCGGAAATGCATTGTCCCAATCAATTCCAGCGGTGTAAACATACTTTTAATGTCACAACTTGTTAAAATTATCGATAATAAGCGCGCTGCGTTTATAACACTATTGTGAACAGTAGTGCGCCATTAAGCTCTAGCGGTAACTATTTAGTACCCTGGGATTAGGTTTGGGCCCCCCATATTTACCGAAATTTGGATACAATTTATTATAATCTAAATTGAAAAAGTGTTGTTGGTGATCTTATTTATTATAAACTGTTCTTATATTACTCAAAAATGATATTGTCAGAATTCACTAGTTAAGTTAAATATTTAAACCAGTTGAAAGATGTTACAGAGGTTGTAATTCACAAAAATATTGAAAAAATAACATTTAATTTTAAAATTAATGATTCTGTGCTGTTAAATAAATAAATCTAAATAGTAGCAAGCCCAGTTTTAAAGTTATACTAACAAGAATAAAGACACAATAATTCAAGATGACTGCCACTTACAACAAAGACATATTTTAATTTATCTTAATTGCTTCTGTTAAAAGGAATAACATAAACTACTTGTCATTATTTTCTTGACTTAATACAATTTCTTTTTGTAATATTGTTGCATCACGATTTTCTAAAAGTATTCAATAAAATAATTGTTATGAAGAGACACTTATATCAAAACTTTATGTCAATAAAAGTAGTCTAAAGACGCATGTGTTTATTAAAATATCTTTGTGATAAAGAAATATTGGATATTAAATTCAGTTGAATATTGTCCACGCATTTCCTTATATGACGTTTTAACGCCAGAAAATCAGCGTTTGATATTTGAAATGTTTGATAAAAAAAGGGAAAGAAAAGTGAAAGAACATGACATTCTGTAAGGTGATAGATTATGTTGTCTGTTAATAGCTATAACAGTTCTAGACATATTAAAATGAAGGATACTTTTTACTGAGCTACTTTGTTTTAAAATGTTTAAAACCGCAGATATTTTTTATAAAAATCTGATCTAAATTAGTCTGAATCATTTACAACAAACCTATACAACTTTTAAGTATAAAAACATTTTAGTATCAGAAACAAAGTTGGTGATATGAAAGATAAATATTCACTGCCTGAATTATACCTAATTTAATAAACTCCATGGTAACAAATCTATGTAGATGCACACACCAAAGATATCATTTTGCACTAATTAATTTTTTTTGCATCAATTCTGGTTTGATGCACATAGAGCTTTAATAAAGTCATCATTTTTTAACTGTTTGACGTTTGACTCTATTATACAATGATCGCTAGATGAAAAGAATTGTCATTGGTAGCCAAACCGATATTATTTCCTTTTGAATGAAAATGTAATTTTATCCATTATGTCAAAGATATAGCAAATAAAATCTTAAGAAAGAACGTTTATCGATCATTTCATCAACTGATATTAAGACATATTTGTATTTCCTTACAGTGATAAAGATGTTCAATAATTGCGCAAGGATTCTGACTACATAAAATAGAAAATAGAATTCCCAAAGAACACCGAAAACAACAAAACTGAATATGGTGCAACCTCAATCTTATGATTGGGTTTGTTCATGGTAGGTACTGGAAAGTTCAAGTTACCGTTCACGCCGCCCCCTAGCACCGTTTAGGCAGAATTCAATATTTAAACATGACAATGCTATAATTTTGAATTAGAAACATCCGCAGATATGTTCATACGGCAGTTATCATGGCACCATCAATGTGAAACGGTTATATTATTCCATGAAAAACAGCGTATGGTCGCCAAATAAAGAATGCTTGTGTCCTAAACTAGAACTTCTTACAGGCGCTAAACGGCACAAAGAATACTGATGTTACCATAAATAGAACAAAGACTCCCCCAAGAACGCCCAAAACGGCAAAATTGAAAAAGTCTTATTTATATTTAGACAGTGCTGTAGTATTAGTTTATTATAATGCACTGGACTTTAGTTAAGTACATTTTAAACGATATATTAACGTTTAATAAGCAATAAAGCCATAGGTTAGGGCATACACAAAAACATTGAAGGTCAGACATTTTTCGAAGTGTAGCAAAGACGAATATGCGGATGGTTGAGAATGTTCCTTCTATTGTTAATCCAAAAAAGATGAAACACGATAATAGAAACCAAAGTTTGAAATGTTGTAACTTTCTAAGCTTTTTGCGAGATCTCGCGAGGTTTCTTAGTTTTGTGGGATTTTCTGGTGTATTGCAAGAAGTTTGCTGTATCATTATTTAAATACTTAATTTTATTTCTTTTATTTCATCCTTAAATACGAACTGTTTATTATTTGGTGAAGTAAACTGAGGTCACACACTTGATTCTTTTTATTTTGTTTTGATTTGATAACTGGTCTAGTCAATAAATTATAAAATTGGCTTTTAGCCAGAACTATGTCCATACAGCACTATCCAAATCCTCATTAAATTGAAGTTGCGTACGAATAAGATGAATTGCACGACTCTGGTTACTATGTTATTAATCTCTGACCTTGATCAACAATTTCAACAATGAAAAAAAATTTGTTTTGAGTTTCCTAAAAGCAATCAGAAAACAATCAATTGAGCATTTAAACATTGCATATTGATTTGAAACGGATAAAAACAACACTACGGCTGCCCTTGAACAAGTCCTTTTTGTTTGCAATAATTCATCTTATTTGATAGAGCTAAAATAAAACAGCATATCCCGGAAAGCTTTAGTTTGAGTCAATCGATATTTTTGTTATTTACTTCTTAAAAAAATATAATATCAGACAAAACAGTACAGTGTTCCTCTATATAGAACTATTTAACTTAAGTGAAATTGATTTCCCTCGATGTTTGTATTTCTTGGAAGAAACCTTTATTTTTCATTTCTTTAGATTAACAGTAAAAAATCAGAAATCGGACAAACAGGATCGGAATTTCGCTCGTTGTAATAAGTGAGTACCTTAACCGGAATAAAGTCGTGTGATTTACAAAACAAAAACCATTTTGCTATCAATGGCCTAGCGTTAAGATTGGAAGCGGAGAATGGTCGGTATTGAACAGTTAACTATATTTTAAATTAACTTTATTAATTTTGTTTGAAAGAAAATGTTAAATTAGACTTGCAAAAACGTTTTCCTCTAATATCGGTTTATCTAAATGTGTGCAATGATTGTTTGTGCTACAGATGTAGGTATCAATTATAATTATGGAATGAAGAAGTTCGTTCATAAACAGACAATTATTGCACGAACTTTGTTTTTCATTTAAGATAATCACTTCGGCCGATAGAACAAGGAAAAGATTCTGTTGACAATAAATATAGCATACTTACACGTAAGCAACAAGCGCAAGGTGATCGTGTGTCATGAACTTGTTTATGGACAACGATCGTGTGTCTTGTTAATCGACAACTTTAACATGATACTTTGATAAAATGCTAACATAATGAAACACTAAACTACATTTTATATTCTCAGAACGACTGGCATTTTAGTGAGACACGATGCCAACTGAATGTGTAGTCTATAATTCTGAATGAGTATCAGACAGAACTCTTGCAGTTTCTTGAAAGCTTGATTAAGTGGTGAGTGACGTACACACGATCGTAAGAGCAGCAATTTACGTCCTACATAGCAAGTCATGGTAAAATGAACGCTACGGACTTAAAAGAAATGAAAGTAATAGTGATATATTAAATACTTCACGTGCATTGCATTTTCTTTCTGTTAACTACATTGAATATCTAACTTTTTGAAAACATAATATTTTGGCAGGAACAGACACGTGACACGCACCTGCTCAGAAACATTTGTTCGAATAGACCTTATATGTTCGATTTAGTCGAATTCGAGGTTTGAAGTTGCAATTTTGCGTCTGCTGTCTTTACTATTTAACAGTTTCAAAAGATGTTCATTTCTTTTGTTCATTTCATTTCATATAACAAACATTTTTTCTCTTCATATTCCCATGATTAAATACAATTTTGCGATTATTTCTGCGAAAAAC